CTTATTATATGCCAGGTGCTCTTTGTATATATCTCATCTAATCCTCACAGCTGCCTTCTGAGCTGGATTTTTTTGCCTTCATCTTTAAAAAATGAGGAAACTGAGCCTTTGAGAAGTTAATGCAGCTACCTACCGTGTTTCCCCGAAAATAAGACAGGGTCTTATATTTATTTTTCCAAGAAGACACACTAGGGCTTATTTTCAGGGGATGTGTTATGTTTTTTAAGTATGGTACAATAATCTACATTTATTCAAATATAGTTAAGTCGTCCTCTTCTGGAACATCATCATAACTCTCCAAACCCCAAATTCCATCCTGAATTTCTTGCGTCTCAATTTCCTTTAGAACCATTGGCCCCAATCTCTCATGTCGAGCAATAGAGCTCTCATAGGGCAGATGAGAAGGGCTGCTCGTCGTCTTTACCACTCCATGACGAAATGCATGGGTTGTGCAGATACACTGCATAGCCACTCCCATCTCTAGGTCTTATTTTGGGGGTATGGCTTATATTGCGCAAATGCTTAGCAATCCTGCTAGGGCTTATTTTATGGGTAGGTCTTATTTTCGGGGAAACACAGTAGTGACGGGGAAAGGGAAGAGCCCAGTTCTGCCTGGGGGCAAATTCATTTTCTTTATCCTACTCCCAGCTGTCTCCCAGGCACCATGGCTGTAGTACATGACAATCACACATTCATTCTTTTGGGAAATATTTATTCGGTACATGCTAGGGGCCAGGCATTGTGCTGAGTGCTGATTGATACATGATCTGATTGATTGATTGATTGATTGAGACAGAATCTTGCTCTGTTGCCCAGGCTAGAGTACCATGGTGTCAGCCTAGTTCGCAGCAATCTCAAATTCCCAGGCTCAAGCGATCCTCCTGCCTCAGCCTCCTGTGTAGCTGGGACTACAGGCATGTGCCACCACACCTAGCTAATTTTTTCTATTTTTAGTAGAGATAGAGTCTCACTCTTGCTCAGGCTGGTCTCAAACTCCTGAGCTCAAGCGATCCTCCCGCCTCGGCCTCCCAGAGTGCTAGGATTACAGGTGTGAGCCACTGTGCCTGGCCTACATGATCTCATTTAAACTTCACAGCAACCATATGGAGTGTTGGTACTGCTATTTTTATTCTTCCCATTTATAATGGGGAAAGTGAGGCTTATGTATCACTAGTATATCAAGTGTAAGTAGTGATAATAACTAACATTTATGATGGCTTCCTGTGTGCTAGGTGCACTGTTTTTGAGACAGAGTCTCACTTGTCGCCCAGGCTTAGTGAGTGCCGTGGCATCAGCCTAGCTC